CGGCCAATTGCTGTGTTGAATTTATTCTTAAATCTTCCATTCTTTACAAATTCTTCAGTTTACATCTGTCAGTTGATCTTCTTCTAAGGTGTTCCAAATCATAATCAATTAGCTACATCAATAACATCTATCAAGGTGTACGGCTTGAACATTTTTTCTAATTTCTTCTGATTAAAACCATACAGTCTATTGGTATTAGTTTGAATACCAGAATGCAAAACAATTCCCAAGCTATGTACTCCTCAAAATTCCAGTCATCATGCCAGTCGCCTTCTGTTTCGTGCGTGAAAGATTTTAAAAGTATTGAAATCATGGAAACAGACGCTATAATATAAAAAATTAAGCAGGTATATTTTCCAATGCATATACATAACAATATTCGGCTCTCAGAAACACGCCTAACCTGAGCTGCACATTTAATGAATTCATGCTTATATTAAAGTCAGAATTTAGATGACACGCTGCATATAAGCTGATTGGTTTTTTGTGTTTGCTCCCTGGAGAACATTTTTCTAAAAATACTGCACAACGTTATACACCACATTTTTAATGTGGTCGTTGCCAGCAGCGCACACGAGTGGAATTAGTCCCTGGGCAAACAGAAATAGCAACACACCATCAGGGACAGCTAATCAATACCTGTTCAGCAATGTTATATATATCCATGTATATACGGGAATATTCTACATGCTGGAAACGTTACCAGTGGGAGATTAAACCCTGCAAAACCGTGGTCTTTAATCGCTTGGCAAATTACAATATAGAAAGCTACAAACAAGTCTCAAAATTGACTATCACGAGAGAAAAACTCGAAATTGCTTTTTTTTTTTGCTGATGATACTTCCAACCAAAGTTTCAGGACAAGAGGACGCGAATTGAATGAGGAACTTAATTGCAAATATTTCTTCACACCTCCAAACTAACGTTTCAAGCTAATCACGGAAGAAAAAACACCCACGCGACTCGAAACGAAATATTCATTTCACATTGATCGAATTCATCATCAAATCGTGGAACACAAACATTTTTGCTTTCTGATGTTATTGCAGAGCACGTTACAAAATAAACAATTTGAATTCATGACTTTTTGCCATATCATATGTTTCCCCATAGACAAATTTACAGAAACTTTTCCGCGTTGACGAGCTGAGCAGACGTGAAAATATATTTTCTGATTTTTGAAACAGTAGAAATTCCAAACCTAAAAAATTTTTCGAATCAGAATTTCAAGGTTAGAAGGAATATTTCACTCAAGTTCGGGATTTATCGAGTGTTTCACTTTGTATTCAGTATCAGGGTCGCCATGATCATTTGAGGAAATATCCTCGCAGAAAAAAGAAACTCGAAAAAGCTCTTTACTTTTGCATATACACTTTTCATGGACGAAACTGCATGAAATGACTGCAGTGTTCATGAATATATATGATTGACAAAAAAATCAATTCAATCACGTGGATTTGCTGGAGAATAATTGAGCTTGCAGAGTCCAAATTCAAATTTTTAATATTCATGGTTTGGTTTACAAGCGGACTTTTCCTTTTTCTCTCTCCACGACGAAATTCAAGGGACCAGAAAAAATTCATTGAACAAAGAATTTTGTTGTAAAGAATTCATTTAAAGTGGCGGGGCGAGGGAACCCCTTAATTGGGACCGAAAAATATTTGTTATGCATGCAGAGTACATTGTTCCAGACAAGCTGATCGAAGAGAGATTCTAACTGCATTTTTTTCAATTTCTGCTGTTTTATGAATTGCGCAGAACTTTAGTGTGGTCCCCCATGAGCAAAAATCCCTCTTGCGCTTCAGTGATCAGGTTTTATTGTGCACCGAAATAACTTTTTGCGTCTCGTGGCCCTTTTTATGCATAATAATTCAAAACAAAAAAACATCACCATCGCACACAGACTACATGAAGAATTATGTTAATTTTGTGCTCAGGCTGAAATATGCTTAATGAGTTCCGATTTAAGTAATTTTCCCAATGTGTTCTCTTGCAAAATTGCATTCAGACTTTATTGAACCCTTAATTGTTATGAAGGAAAATTGTTCATCGATCCCCGGCATGGCTGCTGGGTGTCTTTTTTAATTATTTCCATTCGAAAATCAATGACGACGACGACGACGACTGCGTTTATTCAAAGTGCGCTTTCTTTGGCCTGAGTTTTGGATTTCCGTTTTCTTTCTTGTTCCTTCTCGTCGTAATTATTCCATTCTTGTTCTTCCGCTGAACCCATGATGATGTATATCACAGTCACCAGGATGTAAACCACGCCCGCAATTTGGAACACCGTGCCCCAGCTTTTCAGGCTTTGCTGGAATCAGAGCAGATTTTTATTTCAACAAATATCTTACGCATTTACGAGGGTTGTTTCACAAGTGTTGAGACTTTCTGACATAGGTCCAAGGGAGTTTCAAAAATGCGAAAGAAACTTTTTACTTGCATCGCTCTATCATTTGGTAACACTTACGGGCTGTTCATTTTACTCTCCTCCAAATTTCAATGACATTTTTTCATGCAATACGTTCAACAATCAAAACAGTGCCGAAAATCCAGTTCCTTTTGTTGATTGACCTGTTCTTCATTGATGGCAAAAAGATGAGGCTGTCCCTGTTCTCATTATCGAACCCTTTCAGATCATTCTTCACTTTCAGGAACAGCCGAAATCACCAAGCGCATTAAAAATTTACAGAACTCGATTTTGGCCCTGTTTTGATCGTTGGACTATAATAGCACTAAACAAAGATCATTGAAATCGGCAGTGTTTTGAATGATGGGGATATGCGAATAAAAATGTTCTTCGGAATTTTCGACGAGTGTCAAAAAGTCTCAAAACTTATAAAATAACCTTCGTGACTCATTCATCCAAGTTTGAGGGAATTTTGCTTATGCATTTTTGGCAAAAAAAATTTGCTTTGGGATGCAGTCGAGTTTCTTTGATAAATTCATCATTGAAAATGTACACCTTATTTGGATTCGAAATCTACAGAAAGGAATTAAATCTCCGCTCTCCAACTTTGTCATCATCATTAGAAGCAACACAAGTACTGTATTATGTCTGTTTCCTTTTGAATTAATAAAAATCGTATGCTCATGATGAGAAATTTCAAAACTTGGAAAGTCCACATCTTTTTCAATTTTAATTATCTTTGTGTTGTGAGAAAATATTGATCATATTCCAAGTTTGATTAGATTCCATCCCAAAACTATATGATGTGGCCTTTTTGGTCACAAGAAAGATCCATGAAAATTTGCATTTTAATTTTACCGGCTGAATTTTACATCCCTGGGCTTTTTTAAAATCTTATTGAAAAGTGAAGTAGCTTGGATTGAAGACTCACCTGACCCTTGAGGATGGCACCGGAAAGTAAAGGGGATATTATTGCTGCCAAAGTGTAAGCAACATTTATAATTCCAAATCCAGTACCTGTAAAACACGCAACGTATACAAGTGTAATGCACATCACTTAATTTGAATATTGAATAAGAAATCAAAATGTTGTATACAGGTGGTACCTTGCAATTTGACCTTCTGCAATTGAGCCATCTCACAATTTGATGGGGAAATTTGCAGGGAGGTTGACTTGCAATTTGACTCTTGCCGCATAATTTGACCTGCTTTGGTCACTTTTGTGCATTTTTTAACTTATATTTGTAACCCTCAGACAGCAGAGGGTTCTTTCTCAGTGCGTGGCGGAGTTGGGATTTTTCTGGGGGCAGCACATTTCAGTTTGACCCAAGCTGGTTACTGAAATGCTCCCATCAGGTTGAGGAGGCCTAAGTTTTGAAAAATCCAGGGTGCAAATTTTCTTTTGTTTCCAAGATTTTCTCATGCAAATCCTATGCCAGGAATGCAGAAAAAACACCAGCCAGCAAGGGATTTATTTTTTATTTGCATTTAAAATTTTCTGCAGGATTAGAAAAAAATCTTGGACTTTTTCCCAACTTTGCCCTTGGTAAGAAAGTAGGTTTTTTCTATTCCCAGTGCCCAGTGGCACACAGTTTTGTGAAAATATGCCAACTTTGCTGCACAAGGATTAAATTTCATGGAGTGTCTTGCAATTTGACCAATTTGCAATTTGACCCAAATTTGGCAACAGATTAGGGTTGAATTACAAGGTACCCATGTACTGGCACAACACAAAGCCAGTTAAAGACAAATTATTTCCCATATTGCATATCTTTATTTTACAATTGCTAAATTGTTCAACAAAAGCTTTGGAAAACAATTTGAGGCTTCAAGAAAGAAACAGTTTCCAAATCAATGTAGTGTTGCTAAAGTACACCACAGGTGATCCAGTTTCTGCATGCAAAAAAAATTGCAATGACATTGGCAAAAAGGTTTGAATTAATTCCAAATTCAAAGCTATTTATATTTTCCAAGTTTGCAATTTTTACGAGAAAGTTGAATTTTTTTTTCTAAAAAAATCTAAGAATAATTATTGCTGCATTAACAAAGAAACTTCCACAAGCGGTTGCCATGGGGATCACTTGGATTAAGTATGCATCTTACAGTGTGGAAAAGGCTATTTTCCACTTTCATTGTAATTATTCGTATACAGTATAATTGCATTTAAACTCATTCAACAATATGACTGCTTTTGAAAGTGAAGAAATTCACCTGACATCAATGATGAACCGTGTACAGAGCCCATCATCTACAGTCAATCCCTGCACAATGGACTTGATTTGTGCAACAGACTATTCAGTTATGTAGAAAGTCTGTCATGTGAATTTGATAGTCCTATTATGTTTGTACAGTATTTTTACTCTCATGTAAAGCAAGCAAGATTTCAACTACAATAAGAACACAACACACATTCAAAGCAATACTAATGACATTCTATATTGAAATTAAGTTGTGAAGCAAGGAGGAAATGAGTGACTCATGCCCATTGGCAGCATGCAATTCTATACAGACCAAAGTCTGTTGAGAAGATTTGTCTGTGATGTGATGGAAAAACTGCCTCCAGAGGCATTTTGAGGCTTCAAGAAAGAAACAGTTTCCAAATCAATGTAGTGTTGCTAAAGTACACCACAGGTGATCCAGTTTCTGCATGCAAAAAAAATTGCAATGACATTGGCAAAAAGGTTTGAATTAATTCCGAATTCGAAGCTATTTATATTTTCCAAGTTTGCAATTTTTACGAGAAAGTTGAATTTTTTTTCTAAAAAAAATCTAAGAATAATTATTGCTGCATTAACAAAGAAACTTCCACAAGCGGTTGCCATGGGGATCACTTGGATTAAGTATGCATCTTACAGTGTGGAAAAGGCTTTTTTCCACTTTCATTGTAATTATTCGTATACAGTATAATTGAATTTGAACTGATTCAACAATATGACTGCTTTTGAAAGTGAAGAAATTCACCTGACATCAATGATGAACCGTGTACAGAGCCCATCATCTACAGTCAATCCCTGCACAATGGACTTAATTTGTGCAACAGGTTATTCAGTTATGTAGAAAGTCTGTCATGTGAATTTGATAGTCCTATTATGTTTGTACAGTATTTTTACTCTCATGTAAAGCAAGCAAGATTTCAACTACAATAATAAGAACACAACACACATTCAAAGCAATACTAATGACATTCTATATTCTTTAATTCAACACTTCGTTCCTCCTTTACTCACTGAGTACGGGTAACCGTCGTACGTTAAGATATGTCTGGTTTCAGACAACTCTTCTAAACAGACACTACACTACCTTTTTGACGGAGGTCTCCGTGTTTTTTCTGCAAACATATGTTGTGCGGTAGGTCCAGTGTGTATAGGGGTTGATTGTATTTTACACCCCTTTTCAGAAGAAATCAAGAGATACATTTTATGTACTATGCAGTACTGTGCTATTATCCTGTACTATTTAATTCAACCATTTCTTGTAAATTACAAACTTGTACACAACATTTCCCTTCAATGTTTGGAAATATGAATTTAAAAATTTAAAATGTTGCAATGCCCTTCAAAAGTTTTGTAAGGACATGTTCATGATACACTGCACAGCAGCAATGTATCAAATGTTTAATTTTCTGTTTATAAGGCCAGAATCCAGAACCCAAACATTATTGTCTACTGTGTCTATAGTAAGTTGACAACTGGAGACGTCACACCGGGAACACCGGTGTATTTTACACAGTTATACCGGGAACCGGTGTAAACACAGTCCATCGGGACACAGGAGTACCGTGTGGAAGGAACGAGTTTCGGTGTAACCGATTTTTTTTGCAATCTGGTGAGAAAAAAAAATTTGCATACCACTGAAATTGGGGCACAGGTCCTGGACATTGGGTGCGGTACCCGAGTAGTCGGCGCCAACCGCACTGACGGTGATGATCAGCAGCATCATCGTCAGTGTCGAGTGGCATCCTGAGACTGACGTCAAGAGCAGGGCACACCCCGCAGAGCAGTAGGCTGTCGAGAAATCCGCAAAAAATGATTGACCTTTCTTCTGGACATTCTAATTGCATGTAGAGTAAAATCTTGTTACAATGGAGCTCTTGAGATCTGGAAAACAGCTGGATTCTAAGTTTCTATTAGATGACTTTGTTTTAAAGTAATTCGAATGGCATTATTGCTATTGTCCTGAGACTCGAGAAATGACTTCGTTGTAGTCATTGGTCCGTAATAAAAAATTAAAAAAAAAAAACGAGATTCTACGGTATAAAACATTTTCAACAGCCTGAAGGCTTTCACTGTTCTTTGATTTCTTATAATCTCGCCATGAGAAAGAAACTAGAAAAACAACATTCAATCTGATTTGATGAGTCAACGAAGAATGGAGATATTGGTCCAATTTATGGAATGCGACAATATTGTTTCCAGAAGATGATTCAGTTTTTCAAACAATAATACGAAATAACCTGAGAATGCCAGGAAAGAAAGACCTGAGCACCTGACTGACTATATAGGCAGGTTTGTTGTTAAATTTCACCAGTCAATACTTGAAAAAAAAATCCCGGTGAAAAAAGAAATTATTCAGTATACAAAATTCCTGAAGTCCCCAGAATTTTGTTGTAACAAAATTTTACTATATACTGCAGAAGGTGTAAAAATTTCTCCAAGGAGGAACATCATACTTATTCATTACAATTCTTCCCTTACATCGAGATTGCAAATCTAAAAAACAATACAATTTGAAAGAGTCAATATAGTTGTCGCGAATTTTCGGAGGCATTTCTGCAGAACCAAGCATATCGAATTTAATCACCAGCCTCGAGCTGGCGGAAAGTAATTTTTCATGTCACTCTTCTCAATGTTCGAACTT